GAACTTGAACATTTATTAATTGAATTGATTCTAATCTTTTTTGTATAAACTGAATTAATTTTTTAAGGATGCAGGGTAGCAGTAGAAGAAGGAGGATAGGTCCTAGAAAGGCAGGAGATAGGGAAGAAGCCCATTGAAACCCGTCCAAAGGAAATTATTTTGGAGGTCCTGTCGTCTTTTTTCCAAGTCTTCTTGAAGTTTTTTGATTTTGTAGCATAGAAGCAGCATTCCTCCTGCAAGAACAAACAAAGGCCCCCCTTTTAAAAGATCTAACCCTCTTTTATTTTGTAGTACAACCCCAGCCAATGAATCCAATTGGGATTGGAGATCCAGGATAGTGATGGCAATTGTTTATATATCATCCGGGTTTGATCCTGGGGACCACCTCCATCAGACAGCCCAAGGGGTGCCACCTGATCCCAGCACATGTCGTCCCCTGATTTTATATTGGTGGGGCAGGATGCCACCGCGATGTTGGAGTCCAAAGGACCCCCAGCTCCGGCTGGCNCACCACGAACAGTTCAACAAACCGTTTGTGGGTCCACCAGCCCTCATAACTGCTTTGCATCCCTGTGGAATTATCACTGTCTTGAAGCCTCAATTGTCGTGCTATTTCTTCTTCTGTTAATCCACATCTCACGGCTGAATATTTTGTCTTCTTACTGTCAATCTTATATTAGATACTCCAATGTGGCAGAAAGCTCTTTGGGCTGGATTTCATAAACAGTGTCATTTATCTGTAGTAATCCTTGAAAGTCCCCAGAACAGGTGCTAAGAGCAACCTTGGATTCTGGATATATTTCCACAAATCCATGATAGTAGCAGTTACTAAATTCTGGATCCCCTTCCACAAATCCATGATCGTAGCAGTGACTCTGGACAAAAGGCTGGTCCTCAGTGAGGGTATCTTCATCTGTGTAGGTGAACACAGAGAAATATCTGAACACCAAATTCTTCTTGACCTTGATGTGGATAACATGCCTCTGGTCTCCCAAGTGCAGGCCATAGGACATCCATCATGGGACCTTCATTTCCCTCCCAATGCCAGTTACCCTCAAGGGTATCGCCACTTCTGGGGGCGTATGGGGTTGGGAGTGTCCAATCTGGAGACATCCAAATAGGAACAGAAACATCGCCAGCCGGAGCAGCAGTAGACTTATCCTCACATCTGCCAGGGCCTCACCCATAGCCATTGAGAATGAAGGGCAGGAGGGCCGAGGGCACTGCTTGTCTGTCACCTCCCTTTGATTTGGGTGTCTGCAGCACTGACCTTTAATGGTCTGTCTCTGGCAGAGTCAATCCATCAGAGCAGCAGAACTAAAACTGAAAGGAAAAAATAGAAAGAAAGGTAGAGACAGGTGGCTTTATGAGAAGGCCAGGATGGAGGACAAGGAGCAGGGCATGGGTTAACATGGATTAGTGTGGTACTCAAGACATGACTAAATAAGCTGCATCGGATTTGCTCTGAAATGCTGGTGAGGCAGTGTCAGACTGTGAATGAACAAAAGAATGAAAACTGGCCATAGGTTGATAATTATTGAACCTAGATGAAGGGCACATGGATTCATTATACTGTTCTCTAATGTATGTCTATTTGTGAACATGTCCACAAGAAATATTTTAAGAAAAAGGGTTTTGTTGGAAAGGTGAACAAATACCTTGTTTTGATGAGGGAATCTTGATTTATATATAATGACTTGGAAGAAATATCAATCATTCTTTATTTCAATTTCAAATAAATAATTTTTAATCACATTGCTCAGAAGACATGTTAAATAATACTCACATATATAATTTTTTTTGTGGTCTTTAATGCAAGGTGACATCAGAATGGTCATGGAAATATTGGTATTATCTTTTTATTACATTTTTTTACAAAGTTTTTGAAGTACCCTTGTATATAATTCTGTGCAACAAATCATTACCTGTCCTATCTTCATCTAAACCTGTCAAACTGCACTAAACTTCAAAATTATTACTATCTAGTAGAATGGATACCTTTGTTCAATAAAACAGTAAATAATAGTGGAACTGGACGGGGAGAACCTTGGGTCGATAGGTAGATATTACTCAGAGTTGTTCACATTGGATTATACTCAAGAAAAATAACGTTTTTAAAAGACCTGGCTAAATAAAATGAAAAGCATATCAAAGTAGCTGGGAAAGTAACAGTTGGAGATGGAGAAATACTGAAGACAAAATTAAGTGCTTTCAGAAATGAAAAGGAAAACATTCTTTGTGACCTTCAACCAATTTCTTCACATCTCCTCTACCGCTCCCCCTTCACACCTCTAGTAACCACAGTTCTGTTCTCCACTTTTGAAAGTTCAGCGTGCTATTGAGACTCATTCATTCTTTCTTTCCTTTCCTCCTTCCCTCTTTTCTTTCTTACTTATTTATATTTTTATTCTGACTTATGTGTGAGGACACACAGTATTTCCATTTCTGTGTCTGGCTTATTTCCTTTAACATAATTTTCTCCAAGCTTATCCATGTTGCTGTGAATGGCAGAATCTCATTCTTTTTTATGTGTCAGTAGTATTCCATTGTGTATATATACCACAGTTTCCTTATCCAGTCATCCATCAGTGGACGTTTAGGTTGTTTCCAACCCTTAGCAATTATAAATAGAGCTGCAATAAACATGGAGTGTATATTTTGAGATGATGATTCCATTCCTTTGTGTATATACCCAGTAGTGGGGTTGCTATATCATATGACAGTTCTATCTGTAGCTGTTTGAGAAATCTTTATACTGTTTTCTGTAATGGCTGCACTAATTTATAGTCCCATAAACAGTGTAGAAGCATTACCCTTTTTCTGCATCCTTGGCAGCATTTGTTATTCTCAGCCTTTATCTTGCTAGCAGATCTAAGTAGGATGAGATTATATTTCAATGTGGATTTATTTGCATTTCCCTGATGCTGAGTGATATTATGAATTTTCTCATGTACCTATTGGACTTTTGTTTGTTTTTCTTTAAGAAATGTCTATTCAGCTCCTTTGCCAATTTTTTTTTTATTGCATCACTTGTTTTTTGCTGTTAAGTTGTTTGAGTTCTTTGCATATTTTGGTTATTAATCCCTTGCCAGATGTATAGTTTGCAAATATTTTCTCCCATTCTGTAGGTTGTCTTTTTACTCTCTTAATAGTTTCTTTTGCTGTGCAGAAGCTTTTTGGTTTGATATAATCTCATTTGTTTATTTATTTCTTTTGTTGCCTGTGCTTTTGAGGTCTTATGCATAAAGTCTATGCCCGGTCCTATATCCTGCACTGTTACCCCTACATTTTCTTCTAGGAGTTTTATAGTTTCAGGTCTTATATTTAAATCTTTAATTCATTTTGAGTTAATTTTGATATCAGGCGAGAGGTATGGGTCTAGTTTCATTCTTCTACAGATAGTTATCCAATTTCCCTGCACCATTTATTGAAGAGGGTGCTCTTAACACAGTGTATGTTCTTGGTGACTTTCTTGAAGATCAGCTGGCAGTAAGTACATGATTTGATTTCATAGTTCTTTATTCTAGTCCATTAGTTCTTGTGTCTTTTTCTCTGCCAATACCATACTGGTTTGATTACTATAGTTTTGTAGTATAATTAGAAGACAGGTAGTATAATGCCACCAGCTTTATTTGTTTTGCTCAGGATTGCTTTGGCTATTTGGGATCTTTTTGTTCCATATGAATGTTAGGATTGCATTTTCTATTTCTGTGGAGAATGTCATTGGGTATTTTTAAAGATATTGCATTGAACCCGGGGATCACTTTGGGTAATATGGACCTTTTCATAATGTTACTACTTCCAATCCATGAACACAGAATCTTTTTTTGTCCACTTTAATTTCTTTCTGCAGTGATTTGTAGTTCTCATTTTAGAGATATTTCACCTTCTTGGTTAAATCGAATCCTAGGCATTTTATTTTTTGGTAGCAACAGAAAATGGGCTTGCTTTCTTCATTTTTTTCCTGCTAATTTGATTTTGGAGTATAAAATGCTACTATTTTTTATATATTGATTATGTACTCTACAATTTACTGCATTTGTTTAAAAGCTCTAAGAGTTTTTTGGTAGAGTTGTTATATTTTCCTATGTGTAAAATCATGTCATCTGCAAACAAGGATAACCTGACTTTGTCTTCTCCAATTTGGATGCTCTTTATTTCTCTTCCTAATAGCTCCAGGTTGTCCTTCCAACATTATGTTAAATAGGAGCAGTACAAGGGGGCATCCTTGTACTGTTCTTGTTCTTATAGGAAAAGCTTTCAGCTTTTTCTCATTTAGGATGATACTGGCAATGGGTTTGTCATACATGGCTTCTATTGTGATGAGATACTTTCCTTCTATACATATTCTGTTGAGAGTCTTTATCATGAAGGGATGCTGAATTTAGTCAACTCTTTTTTCTGC